TGGAATAAGGTGGTCGGGGTGCTATTGTGTTTGATTCATTACATGAGTAATATCTTGGCAAATAGAAAAGATAAGGCATTCTTATTTTATATTTTAGCTTGTCAATATTGGTAATTTGAGTTCCTAATTCGTACGAAATCAGTGCTGCATTTAACATATCACGTGGCACACAAAAATTGATGTTTAACTGTGTTTTTTTAATATTTAATTTTAAATCAAAAAGTGAATAATGTATAATACTAAAATTTTAATTATAATCTACAGCTTGATAGCAAACTTACTGACATAAATTCATAAAATAGTACTTCAATAAAATTATGAATTAGCGTCAACAAATGCAATGACATGGCCTTCCACTCATGACCCATGTGGAGAGGGTTAACATCGAATTAAGATACAATTACTGGTGTAGAGGTGGGGGTGTATTTGGATGTGAGTGACGAAATCATAATTAATTTGATGTTTCGTTGCACATTGACATCAATAATAATAATTCCAAGTTTTCAGAATGTCAATTTTGAGGTCGTGAGGTGTGAGAGTTTACTCTAGCTGAGGTATGGGGAAATGCTGAAGAAATGTAGCATATTATGATTCAGAATAGGCATACTCTGTCCAGAGAAAAAAAGGATTTGTATGAATAATAGGCCAGGTAGATTAATATAGCCATAAGAAATAAACATCATAGGTTTAGGAAATTATAACTGATGACCAGGATGGAAATTTTATAGAATTACAGAAGAGTTAGAGAATTAGTTAAAAGGAAAATTACAATGCTAAAAAGGGCCCATGAAGTAGAGTTCACATGTAATAATAACTTTTAATCAATGTTAGAATTTAACAGTAAGGATTTTCTATCTAGATATATTAAAGATAAGCAGAATGTGAGAATGGAAATTGGATATTGAGGGATGGGGAGTAGAGTTTTTGTTGATGAGTGTGAGATTGTTGAGCTTTAAAGTAATATTTTCTCATTGTTCTTTTGCCAGTGAGGATGTTGGTTGAATTCATTACCCTTAGAGTTTGTTTGGAGGAAATGTTTTTGGAGTGTGTAGTATGGATGTTAATCCAAAGCTTGGAGGAGAAAAATTTAATTTAAAAATAGAGAAGGCTCCTAGACTTGATAATATTCACCCTTGAGATTTAAAAGAGGTGAAGGACTAGATTTCTGAGCTACTTCCTTTAATTTTTGTTAGAAGATATGTACTTGAAGATTAAAGGGTAGTAGTTAATGTTAGCTCAATTTTTAAAGGGAAGATGTACATTGTCCAAGCAGTTTTTGGCCAGTTAATGTTACTTTAGTGTTGGGGAACATTTGAGAGTCTGATAAAACATATTTTACAGGATCATTTCTTGAAGTTCAAAAATGTGTTACAGAGCCAACATTTTACAAAGAGAATGTCATGCCTTACTAACCTATTAATTTGTTTTGTGGATGTTACTTCTTATTTGACAGAGGGTAAAGGAGAAGATTTGGTTTATTTGAATTTTTCAGTAAACTTTTGATGTTGTGCCACCTAGAAGATAAAGAACATATCATCCAGAGTTGAAAGCTGGCTGAATGGGAGGAAGCAAAGTAGTTATTAACCCTCTCACTATGGGCTCTGTGGGTTATACTAACCATATGACTCCCAATTGACCATCAGAGTTTCTGTACTATAACTTTTAACATGTTTTGTGTATCTCTACAAAATTTTTCAAGCTTTTAGTAAACATTATAAGTCTTTTGTAGTTAAAAAAAATCAGAACTTTTACTAAACATTTGTCCATGAACATATGGAGTCAGAATGTTGACTACTCTGAGTGCAGAATGATTTCCATGTTAAGATTAAGAATGCTTTTTTTTCATCTGAAAACTGTCAAAGCTCATTTGCTTAATCTCCAAAACCTCCTAAATAAATATCAAACTTTTTTTTTTTCAGATAAACTTTATAATTTATCTGTTGTTTTGTATACCCTAACTCCATACAGCAGTTTCACAAAGTGGGAGCTGCAGCCCTCCTGGGGGCCATGAAGCTTTTTTTGTGGGGGGGGGTATTGTGGTTGTAACGAGAATTGTCTAAAGTAATAAAAGTGCAAGAAAATGATATAGCTCTGTACAAAGTCTGTGACAATCCAATAAACTTCATATGTATTTGGATGTTAGTTATCCTCCTGGGGTGGTCAGTATTTAGTGGTATAGGTGTACAAAGTGTGTAAGTGCTTATGAGCATGTATATATATTATTACTATTTACTCATAAATGCTTTATTTTTAGTTATTTTTCTTAAAATATAGAACAGTATGTATGAAATATATCAGAAAACAACGATTGTTAGTACTTATGATGTTACAAAATTGATTTGTACTTGTGTGTCATACTTGCTAAGCTTTGCTGTAAGCCTTGTTTATTTTTTCAAGTGGAGGGGAAGAGAAATTAATGTTTGTAGATTTCAAAGATGCATTTCAGAAGATCAAAAAATTATCAAATTACTATACTGGTACAGTAAAATCACTGTAATTTATGTGGCTTTCTAACTAAGCTATATGTGGGTTAAAAATAATTTCACTTCTGTTCGTAGCAACAATTTAGTCAACAAACTTCAACATTTCCAGTAAAAATATGGTTTTCCCCTTTTAAGCCAGTTACAAAGGACTTTCAGATTTACGAAGTTTGAAAAATGCTATTTCTATTGATTATAAACATGTACTTAAGGGAAGTAGGCATGAGTAGACAATAGGTTTCAAAAGTGGTAAGTTTTACTCCATTAGGTTTGCAAAATATATTAATATCTCAGCAAATCAAAAAGGTGTAAGGTTTTTATTTTGTGTTTTAGCTTATAAATGCCTGAAGTTTGAATTTCTAATTCTTTAACCACTATAGACATTGTATAGTAGGTGTAGTAAAATATAAACTGAGCAATAAGACAAGAGGCTGTACTATGTGACACACAAAAATAGGATATTTAACATTTTTTGAAATATTTTCTTTCAAATTAAGAAATTAAAACATATTTAATATTAAAGTGTGAATCATAATCTATTTTTTGATTCCAATTTTATTGACATACATTGATGATTAAGTTGTTTAATTAAATTTCGAAAATAACTGTAAAACATTGTGATGTGCTCTTTGACCTGTCTGTAGTGTGAAGGTTAATGGAATTCAGTCTAACTGGATTAATGTCATAAACAGTGTGTCTCATGGATGTGTGCTGTGACTGTTATTATTTATAATTTACATTAATGACATTGATAGGTATGCAGGTGGAAAATTGGTTAAGTTTACTATTGACAAAAAAAAATTAAATCTGACTGTCTGTAATGATGATATGATTTTAGAGATAAGACTTTGGTTACTTAGTTGAAAAAACACATGGCAGATAGAAAGAAGTGAAAGGTTATGCATATGGATTATAATATGAATTATTCATCTAATTTAAAATAGAATTCTCTTAATTATGTAGATGAGGAAAAGAATCTTGGGGTATTTGGTTGATACTGCTTTTAAGCTTTTGAGACAGTGTGATATATGATTTTGGTGATGGATGGGTTGTCATATGAAGATAATTTGATCTTTCAGCTAGTTTTCTTGAAAAGTAAAGGGTAAGAATTGACCTACATAATTGCAAGTTCCAAATTATTTAGAGAATTGATGAGGTTAATGCATCATGTTTTAAATTTTGATTAAGTTAAAAAGCAACATCATAAAGAGTGAATACACTGAAAGCAAATTGTTTTCTTGAAAAGTAAAGGGTAAGAATTGACCTACATAATTGCAAGTTTCAAATTATTTAGAGAATTGATGAGGTTAATGCATCATGTTTTAAATTTTGATTAAGTTAAAAAGCAACATCATAAAGAGTGTATACACTGAAAGCAAATTGTTCATTTGTATGCATATACTTGCTGTCAGATGTGTAACTGCAGTATCATGCAGTAGGGTACTTTATGTGTTTCATAGGATGTGCTTTTTTGATAATCTGTACCTGTTATAAGTGAATTGAGAATATACATGTTTTGAACCTATTTCACTAAGATTTGTGAATAAAATGAACTGTTGCTGACATTAACATTTGGAGCAGTCTTATCTTTGTCTTTTATCTTTTACACTACCTGTACTTAGTCAGCCGTTCATACCCACTCTTCATAAATGTAGATTGATAACAAGTGTTATTTTTTGTAGAATTCTGTTATATGGCATATGTGTGCAAGATTTAATGTTCAACTGAATTTGTGTTTAAGTTCATTTGTGTGTTTTGCACATATTATATAGATCAGGAATGCTGGCCTTGGGAGTAGAAAGAGTTGTGGAACAAGTGGTAAATCCCAAGATTAATCATGTTTTCCTACCTCAAATCAACACTGCTGTGAGAAGATACCTTGGCCTAGAAAAATCTCCTCAGGAGTATTATGTGAAGGAGAGAAAACCTGACCCACGAACACTTTATAAAGAGCAAATGGTTGCAAGTCATTCATGGTCGGCTCCATCTCAAACAGTTGCATCGCAACTGGGAATTATAAAAAAAGAAGAAAAGGAAGGAAGCTGCAGTCAAACTCCTAAAGGTACGTGTATAATAAATATATATTTTGCCACTCTAAAAGTAACATTTGTGAACTGAATGGAATTTAATACAAAAACTTTCTTGTATTATGTTTCACTTTTATAATAATATTTTACTTGTGTATTCCATATGCACTTATTTAACCAAATTTTTACCAACTTTGTCATAAAAATGTGTAAAAAACCTCTATAGATATGTGTTGAGACCATGGCTATGTATTTAATGTATACCATTAGATGATTTTGAAGCTTGAATATCTGTACAGAAATAACTGTAGGTTTTCAAAAAGTTAATATTTTTTGCAAAATGTTCAGTCAATTTTCTTAGTTATATTTTAATTTTCAGATGTTGAATTGTCTGTGAAAGAAAACAAGGATGTAACAAAATGTGTGTGAATATTTGTTATGGTTAGGTAACTTGAGATGCTGACCATAATAAGAATTTTAATACTGGATGAAAGTGTCATCAGCACTTGATATGGCATTTCTAGTTTGGTAAACATATCATAAGATGTTCTCATTTGTTTTCACTCATGGGTTCTTAAAATTCCTAATGGACTTTTGTAACTACTAGTATTGACAAGATTTTATTTATTCTGCCCTTTCACCAAGTGATCAGAAAAGTGAATGCTTACATACATTAATGAAGAAACAATATAGATAATGAATCTGTATGTAAGAGGAGGTAAAAATTGTTTGAAAGTAGGATATGAAGTTGCTTGCCATACACACACATTTTTAAGCATCAACAACAGTAGAATAGTATGGCTGAAGCCTGAAAACATGAAGTATTAACTCTTTGCTGTGTATAACTTGCAAATTGTATTTTCATGACAAAACTATACTCTGTGAGTTCAGTGTAAAATTGTTAATAGATCAATGTTTCAGCTTCCCATTTATATTGCTAAAGTTGATCAAATATAAGAAGTTAACTGTTGCTACTAATTCATTTTACAACAATATATTGCTCACATATTAAACTGTCAAACTGAACAAATGTTACATTAAAAAATTATGTAGTTCAGATATCCTATCCCTAGGCTAGCACAGTTAAAATATTTCAATATTATTATGAGCTTGTACTTTATCTTAAACCTTCATACTTCAACTGTAATGGACTGCCAGTTAGGACAGTCAATCACAATATTATTTATTAAAAGGAATTTTACTTGAGAACTAAAGAAATAGTCGTGGTTAAGGTTAACAAAATTAAACACTTATTAGTAACTAGATATTTTTATACAGTGAATCTAAATATTCAGTTTAATATCTTCAATGAACAATATTAATCAATCAAAGAAACTAAAGTTTCCTACTGATTAGCTATTTTTCTTTTGACATCATTCTGTTTTGCCTTGCATGCCACCAGCTTTTGAAACTCCTATCTAAATTCATGTGAAAACATATGAATTTGTGTTACTGCATAGTGACATTCATGCAACAAAACCTATCAGTAGGAGTGCGACATACCTCCCTGTGCAAATACTCCTTTTACATTTATGCATGAAAATCCTCATTCTTTCCCTCAGCACAGTTATGCTTACATGTGTAACCTTTCAATATGAATTCACATATTAACAGCCATCATGTATTGCAAAAGGTGCCACTCCGGTTGACAAATACAGTAAGAAGAAGAGTAATGTAACATCATCCATTGTGTGGTGGGGTCCATGTTGTTGCCTGGACCCTCTTCTTCCATCTCTGCCATACATTTTCCTTCCCAGATTTTGAAGCTGACTTTGAGAAGGATGAAATCAAGTGACTTTTCCACCCAATACTTTTCTACTTTACGTATGCCTTCTACCCATTGTTTCCTTTCTTCCCCCCCTGTTAGTGCCGCACCCAGCATTTACTTATTTATTTCATGTTTCAATTCGCTGCTGCTGTTTTATGCCTCGTTCTTCCTGTCTTACCAGGTAACATGTAAAAGTTATTGTTTATGTATGGTTCACTCTTCATCAACTTGTAACTCATAGGACTTAACATTTAGATATTGTTTATTACTCCTTAACTTATAATACTTAGACTATAATGTTTAATAACAGTTACTTACTCCTTCATATCCCACGTAGTATATTATGTTTAATCATAGTTCATCTATCTTTCGCATGTACACATGGACATTGATGGTTGGTCATATTCACTTATTCCTTAATTCTAGTTCTTACTCTTTAATATGTCCACATAGAAGATATTGTTTTTCGAAATTGTCTATTACTCCTTAACATGTAACTCATTGAGGTTGTTGACTGACATAGTTCATTACTCCTTTACATGTAAACATAGGAGATAAGGAGATAATGTTTAGATATAGTTAATTCCTTCTTATTGTATCCTACTTAGAATATTATGTTTGGTCATGGTTCATTGATCTTTTCCATATATACAACAGTTAATGTTTAGAAATAGATGCTTATTCTTAATATGCATACTTAGATGTTAATGTTTACTTCTAGTTCATTATTTCTTCACATACAACATAGAATATGTTTAGTCATAGTTCCTTACTTTTTATGTTACTTAGAGGGTAATATTTCATCATAGAGCATTACTCCTTAACATGAACATTTATTAGGTACTATTTAGTCGCATTTAGTTACCCCTTAATATGTACACATGACAGATGATGCTTCAGTCTAGTTCCTCTCTCTTTAGCATGCATACTTAGATGGTCATGTTTAATTCTGTTTCATTACTTCTTAGCATGTACACATAGGAGATAATATTTTGATATTGTGTATTTATACATGCAACACTTTGACAACGATGTACTGCGCATGTCATGAGGTTTCAGCGGCTTACATTCAAAATTTTATTAATCTACTTTTTGTTTATATTATTCCAATTAGTATACATAAAATCTTTAGTTAATAATTCATATTTTAATAGTATATAAGTTTCAAGTTCTTAATTTTATACGGCAATATTTAAAAGAATATTGAATTTCCCCTAGTGTGACACGTGACACATTTTCTCTATATATCTTCTCTTCTCTATTTTATCCACCACCCCTACAAGAAGTACAAAATTAAATGAAAATTACTCACTATAAAATTGTCATTGGTCAGATAAATCATAATTTTATGTTCTTCAATTTTGTTGGTTACAAAGCTATCAAACAGAAAATCAGACCCCTCTTTCCACACCTGCCTGTCACATCCTCTCTTTCATTATTTGTTAATAGTTCTCTCTTACATTTAATTCTATATTATCTATAGCCAATAAAAGGCCAAGGTTTTTATCTATCAAATGACATATTGTATAACATTGGTTTTTGAATGGATAATTGTCAATTTCACTGTTAGTATTAGCTTCATTCCCACAAGAAAGATAATGACTAGCTTGGATGAATTTTTAATGGCTTTTGTCGCATAGAAAGCCAGAAAAATTGCGATAGTTAGGGGAAATTGTCTACTTTTTGCATGTTATTATTCTTTGGTGCTTTATTTAATTAAATGAAAATTATTTGGTGCATTATTACCATTAGTATAAAAAATAGGGTTAAATGTCATTGATAATCAATAGCAAGAAAAAAGAAGATTTGGGTAAGTACTTTATTTCATGTTTTTCATGTTTATTCTTTATTCATTATTATAAAAGTAACTAAAAATAGGGATCTCTTTAGGCTAGTTAAGGTTAAGTTAGGTAAAATATATGATAATATAATAATGTTTCATGAGGCACACATGCTAGCAGCTTGTGAGTAACGTAATTTGATAGCGTAATGTGACCTCCATGTTCCTTAAGTGATTTACAACTTTTAATGCCATGAACAGTAGTTAGACATGGTTCAATGGCCAATAAAAAGGCAATAAAACAACAAAATTGAATTATAAGTAGATGTATACTGTTATGAGTTTAAAGCTATTTAGGATAAACGAATGTAGTTTCATGTTCCAATTTGAAGTAATTCTATAATGAAAAAAGGGTAATTTAGATTTATTTCCCTTTTTATTTTTATTTTTTGGTGGTTACAAGGTCAGTCAAATTGACCAATGTTGTTTACAGTTAGTGTATAGAAAATAACAGATAAAATATCTGTTTTAGTGAAAACAAATATTTGAAATGTATTTAGGAGGTTTTAGAGAATTCACAGATCAAATCTGAGATTTTTTGAGATAAAGAAAAGTATTTTCTATCTTAACAGGAAAATCACTTTGCACACGGACTATTCAAAACAAATACTCGATATATTCACATACAGAATACTTGTAAATTGTACTAAAAGTCTGCCAAATTTTGTGAACATACACATTGCATTAACAGTTATAGTATTAAAACTCTATACCAGTAAAAATAGTCCTGTGGTCTGTCCCTGGGACTGACCCCTTATGGAGAGAGTTAACATGTCCACTTGTTGATTAATGTTTTGTGATAGATTTTTACTGCAAAATGTGTACCCATGGATGGTAGTGGTTAGTTCTTGTCAATTACTTCTTGATAAGTCACACATAGACAATACTTTTTTGTTAGCGTTAACATGTAGTGGATAATGTTTTCTCATCATTCATTACTCCTTAATCATGTCTCCATAGACTATAAAGATCAGATGTGGTTATTTACTTCTTTACTTACCAATGGAAGATAGATTTAAACATAATTATTTTCCCATCATGTCACACTTTGACAATATTATTTTGTTATAGTCCATTACTTCTTCCCATGTACACATAGATTGTAATGATTGAATCTGGTTAATTACTACTACATGTACCAATAGGAGATAGGGTTTGCACGTAATTGTTTGCTCTATGTTATGTCACCCATAGTCACAAAGATTAGATGAGATTACTTGCTCTATAACATGTATTCCTAGTAGGTAATGTTTAATCTTCTTTTCATACTCCTTTACATAGACGTATAGAAGATAGTGTTAAGACTTAGTTCTTGGGGGCACTACACATTGCTGCAGGCTGTCTTCTTGACATGAACACATCCTACCCACTGATTGGTTCCTCACTCACTGGTCTTCCATTGTTCCTCCTCCTTCTGTTGTTACTTT